GGGGGGCAGTGTTGGGGGGGGGTGGGCAGGCCCAAAAAGGCCACCAGTGTCCAGCACCCGTGGTGGTGGGAGACGTCAGTCGCGGTGTCAGACCCCGAGGAGCGCTCCTGTAGCCGCAGCACGCCGACGTTTGGACGTTTGGACGTCTCCACCATGGGAAAAGGAGTGAGTTTGAGTTGGTCTCCGTTTCTGCCATTTTTTTTTTTTTTTAAATCGCTATCGTGGCGTTGACTTGTCAGCCCTCTGCTCTGCCTCCTGCTGTCCATGTACAGTAACACATGGCACCGACACGTTTTGATGGAAAAGTACTGAGTTCCTGCAGCAGAGGCTGCTGTGTCTTTTTTTTTTTTTCGGGGACGGTAACGTCTCAGGGTGGGATTTCTTTTTTTTTTTTTCCAGACTTTTCCATTTATTTTGCCTAATTTCACTGTTTTGGTTGTTATTGCCTCCACCAGGGCAGATTCCATTTGCCCTTCTATGTGAGGGCAGGCTGGTGGGAGTGGTGGGGGGCGAGGGTTAGGGCGAGGTGGGGGGGTTGTATTGCTATGCCAGACACATTTCAGACTGTGCAGCGACTCCGACGCTGGTCTGGTTTTTTGATGACTTTTTCACTCCGTCTCCTTGTCAAGCCGTCCCTCTCTGACTGGCACACGTGCTGCTGAGAGGAGACTGACAGCAGCAGATGATTTCCATGATGCACCATTCTTCCATCTGTCCGTGACACACACACACACACACACACACACACACACAGACACATGCAGGCTGACTCAGATGAAGACCTCTCACCCTGCTCAAAGATATTTGCCTGTCTTTGAGAGTCTCAGTTTCCTCAAAGACAGATATTAGCCGGCCTGCACTCAGGTCCACTCTGCTCACACTGACCTCCGGATGACGAGCTCATGAGTCCCACTTAGTTTATATGATGGTTCTGGGATGGCAGCCCACGGGCCTGATGTATAGTAATTGCTCTCTTTTTTCCTCCAGAGTGGAGCTGAGAGTGGAAGGAAGAGGAAGAAGGACAGGGATCTGGATGAGCTGAAGAAGGAAGTGTCCTTGGTAAGAAAAACACCCTGACCGCCCCCCCCAAAACCCCCCCCCCCCCGCCCCCCCCCCTCCCAACTGTTACGCCAAAGCCAGAGTTATATTTAATAAGGCTCTAAATGAAAAAACGTTGGCCCGTAAACAAGACGACAATCCGACATTCTCGTCCTAGTCAGATTTGGACGTTTTCTGAAGCAGGCTGTCCTCTCCGATCTGCTCCACCACCCTCTGGCTGCTCTTCTTTGTACTCTGAGAGATGCTGAATAATTTGTGGGCCACCAGCAGTGCGCTGCAGAGTTGGGTTTTTTATTTATTTATTTATTTATTTATTTATTTTGTCTTGTGCCGAGCTGCACGCTCTTTGAGGTGCTGTCAGAAAGCAGCCGAGTGAAGACACACACACACACACACGGATCCTTGTATGTTTTGCTGCATCTCTTGCCAATTAACCGGGGCGAATTTTTTCTGACAACATTTTGGGGGCGGTTCCCTGATCATGTGATCTCTTTTTCAATGGAATCAAATCTTCTTTTCTACATTTTAACTTCCTGATGTCATTCAAACTGTCACCGAATATTGAGCGCTCAACATCCTGTGGAGAGTGAACGCTTTTCAGACTGCAAACCTCTGTTAAAAAAAAAAAAAAAAGAAGACACCTGTAGGGGGAGCTCTCCACAAAATATATGTGGCTGTGGACAGATTTGGTCTTTGCTAATCTGTTACAGGAGATCAACAAGATCAGAACCACTTTTTATAACCAACCAGTGTCTCCAGGTTGTTTGTCAACCTGTTAAACACAGGGATAGAACCAAACATACGAACAAAATCAACCCTAAAGCAAAGAGTTTAATAAAACCAGATGTTTGGAAAACGTTTCACAGCAGATTGTCTCCATCTCTGCCAACGGGCAAAGAAGTGGTGACCAGTAAAATCACAGAAATCCTACTTGTGTAAAATTATAGTTTGGAACATGTGCTCTCTCCAGACGATGTTTATTCATAGTAAAAAAAAAAAAAGAATAAGTAGGAACCTCAGTGATTGAGCAACATCTGGGTCTTTTCTAGTCACCCGTTACAGCTTCCAGGAGGTGGAGCTAAAGAGCATATTTAAATTAAATGTTAAAAAAAAATGTAAATAACCCTCAACAGTCCAGTTTGTAATGTTGGTCTCCTGGTGCTTTGTACTGAATACACTTTAAATATTTGAAAAAGAAAAAGTCTGCAAAACACCAAGGGAGGAGGGCATATAATTAATGTTTATACATAGTCTTAAAACCTCTGCATAGAATTTAAAAAAAAGCAATACATTTACTTTATAGCACAACTGACTTTTATTCCATAGAAGTTTTATTTTATTTAAATTTTACATTCATTTGGATTTTTTTTACCTGCTGCTTTATGTGGAAAGTGAGCAGTAGAAGAGTATTTGACTGTTGTAGAACTCCCGGCTGTTTGAAATACCATTTTTATCCCTGTGGTCATCAAATAAGACCTTTGTGATTAAAATAGATAATAAAAAAAGTGCACAAGGTTAGAAAGATTACTCCGTTTTCAGGAGCTACGTTGTAGTTTTTCCTTACAGTTTACAGAGAAAGTATTTCTTTTTTATATAAATATACTACTGGACTTGAAGATTTCCTTGGACTTTTTTTTTGTTTAATTTGTCATCAAGTTCATTATTTTATTTTATAGAAGATAAATAAAATAGAAATGTTTTATTTGTTTTTTATAGCCATTAGTCCTGAACCGTACAACACGTAAACTGCCGTAATCGTAGGATGCTAAAATTTCCAGTGGCACGTGAACGCACCTAGCGTGACAGCCCAAGCTATTTTGCTCCTCTAGCTTGTTGCTAGCTAGCGCGAAATGGACAGTTAGAAAAAAAAAAAAAGAAATAGATGGAAGGAGCAGAACAACAGTCCTGCCGTGGGAGGAAGAAAACGGTCCAAGAACTCAAGGCCAAATAAAACCCAGAAATATGAGGCAGCATATGCTAAGTATGACGCGCACACACACCCGAGAGACGTTTGATTTCGTTTGTTCTTATGTGTCAACAGTTTGTTGAAAAGTTAATTATTCATTGGGAATATACAGTCACGAAAAGCTGTTTGTTAATAATTTTTATACGATAGAAAATGTAATAATTATTGAACAGTGAATCAAAGTAAGAAAATACACTATAAAAGTTGATGTTTCTTTACATTCACTTTATATTTTTTTTCGCGGGTTTACAAAGAAGCTAATTAGCATTAGCTTCTGTCCCCGGACAAAAGCTAATGCTAATTACGTTACGTTTCTTTACATATATATATAAATACGTTTTTGGTGTTGTAAAGAGTTTAAAGTGTTTTTACAATAAAACAAAATTAGTTATTTAAATTCTGTAATATCTGAGTTGTCACATATTTGTGTTGATTTTTAACCGTTTCACGATGCATCGTTACATCCCAACTTAGCGCACCCTACAGGCCAGAGTAAGGGAGGTACATGGTGAATGCTGTCAAAACCATAAAGGAAATAAGATGACCTTTAAACTAAACATTTAATCACTTTTTATTTTTATTAACTCCAGACGTGAACTACTTTGGTTTCCTCGGTGATGCTCATTATTTATGGGCAGCCTCGGTGGTTGGGATGAAGTGATGGTTTTTATATTCAGAGTTCTCTATCACCCTAGATATGTGCTCTCCATCCATCTTACAGTAATGCTGGAATGAAAAAGAAAAAAAACTCCCTGTAAACTAATATTTTATTCCTGCAGGATGACCACAGAATAGATCTGGACGATTTAGGGAAACGTTATGGAGTGGACCTGAAAGAGGTGAGGCAACACACACACACATACACACACGCTTACACAAACCTTCACACACACTTTCACAGCAGCTTGAGACAAAAGTGAAACATCACTCACACAGAGATGTAATCTGTGCTCACTGTGTAACGCTGGAAGCTTCACCTTTCCGTCTTTTTTTTTTTTCATCTTTAATCCTCCAGTCTCGCACAAACACACACTTGTTTTGATTCTCACCGTCGGTACAATCTCACACAACCGCGCTCAGACAGACGACTCCGACGCCAGTGCATCACCGCGGTCTTTACGCTGCCACAACATTTGCTGCTTCCCTGCGTTCTGACACTGCAGGTGTAGTGAAACTGATGGTGTCTTTTTAATGGCTTGTATATTAAAGCTGGAGAGGTTTTTTTTTTTTTCCAGGCAGAGCACAAGCTGTTTAATCCTTTAAAAACCTATTTCTGGTGTGTGTGTGAAATTGTCATAAATTATACCTACATACTTTTAAGCATGAAATTCAGAAAGAAATGTTCACTTTAACTTAATCCAGCAGTCGTACGCCTGAGAAGGTCAGAAGAAGGAAGTCGGACGATATATTACACGTGGACCAAACAGACAGGAACGGCTGATGTTCTGCTGCCGCGGTGAAATCACTCGATCAGTCGCGGTGAAAGAAGGGAACGTTGTGTCGTACGTAATAAGATTTCCAAACACATCCTGTGAAACTCCTGCTTTTCCCCCTCAGGGCTTGACTTACGCCAGAGCTGCCGAGGTCCTGGCCAGGGATGGACCCAACTCCTTGACACCTCCACCCACCACTCCAGAGTGGGTCAAGTTCTGCCGTCAGCTGTTTGGCGGTTTCTCCATCCTGCTCTGGATCGGCGCCATCCTCTGTTTCCTGGCCTACAGCATCCAGGTGGCCATGGAGGACGAGCCGCCCAACGACAACGTGAGCACCTGCACACAAAACAGTTCACACACCGTACAACATCATCAGAGGCTGTACTGTACAGAAGGGATGTCCAAGGTCTGGCTCAGGGGCCCGTTGTGGCACTTGAATTGTTTTCATGATGAGTGTAGAGAATTGTTGATCAGCGAAACTTAGCTAAATGTTAGCAGAAATACGGCAAAGTATCCAAGAAACAGTATTAGTATGGGCTGAAGGATCGGTGTCTGGTACCGATACTTGTTTCTTTTGTGTTGGTATCAGTAGTATTTGAAACACTTCAATTAGTATTAGTAATTATATTAGTATTAGCATTATGTAGTATTAATAAGTAAAAGAAAAAAGGAACAAAGCCAAAAGAAAAAGAAGAATTAATAAGTAGTATATATAAGTATCAGTGTAGTATTCACAGTTATTAGTATGCGCATCGGTATTTGTTCCTTACATATGTGGCATTTAAGTATTTACCAAATAGTGTGTACAGAGTGTAAAACCGGTCCAGTGTGCAGTACAGTGTGCAGTACAGTGTGTAGTAGAGTGTGTAGTAGAGTGTGTACATCAGCTCTCCGTTCTCCTGCTCCTCTGTGCAGCTTCATGAATCATTACCCAACCATCAGTCAGAGCCCTCCAACCCTCAGACACCATTAAACCCTGCTAACATCTACAGTAACACACAGCAGATGGACACACACACACTCACTAATAACTCTAATCTGCCCATGTTTTCATCTCCACACTCAGCAGTGAGTGTGTTCAGCTCATCCTCTCCAGACTCACCACTGCCTGCAGCTCTGCTGCTTTGATTCTCCGACACGGAAATCCTTCCTAACAGGAAATTTCACTCCTTCCTCTTCTCTGTCTAACCAGGATTTTGTCAAACTGACAGACATAGAACTAACACCTCGGTGTTGACTAAACCCCCCCTGACCCCCTCCCACCCCCCAACCCCAGAGTCCAAAGGTCAATTATTCATCTAAACGTTTCCAGCAATGATTGATTTTTCATGTTTTTAGTGTCATTTTTTAGACTCTAGATTATCATTAATGTTAAGTTAGTTTAGCTTGTTAGTTACTAACCCAACTTCAAGCGTATTCATCAGCCTCTGTTTTAGACCTGCTTCCGTTTCTGTGGCTCACCGTAAGCTGTCGGCTGTTTTAAATAAAACACACACAATTTGTTTTACTGTTCCAGGCTGTAGTACTTCAGTACTGCAGTTTTTAAACATGTGGTTGACGTCTCTGTGGATCTGTATTTCCTGAATCAGAAAGTACCGCTCTGCTGGTTTTAAATATAATAAGTTAAAAAAAAACATCATTCTTGCCTTCTGTCAAATAAAAGTACCAGCATCTAAAAAAGAAAAGGCAGGAAAACAACTTTTGCTTCCTTCTGGGTTTGGTGAGCGTCAGCGAGAGAAGAAATCTTAACCTCTTTTTTTTTCTGTTAGAACTCCAACTAAAAAAAAAAATTCTCTAAAAATTCACTGGAACACGCGCCTCCTGCTTTTACATAAGATACAGTGACACGTCTACAAAGTGGAGCGGCCGTGTCTCCTGGTGGCCCCGTAGATCAAAGCTGTCACTTCCCGGTGTTTCCGCGTTCCTGGGACATCTGTTCACGTGGACCAGCGCGGAGCGAAGCCTCCGCCATGACACAAATAGACACGAAGACTCAGCCCTGGAATGGGTTTTCCTTCCAGACCCCCCCGCTGAGTCTTTGAGCTTCTACTTCTGAGCTCCGTCTTCTTCTTCTGCGTCGGAGTTGTTGCTTTTTTATAATTCGCTCTAAAGTCTGTAAATCACCATTTCATGTGTTTTAACAGGCCTTACATCACATCACACCCCCGTCTCTCTCTCTCTCTCTCTCTCTCCAGTTGTATCTCGGTGTGGTGCTGGCCGCCGTGGTGATCATCACCGGGTGTTTCTCCTACTTCCAGGAGGCCAAGAGCTCCAGGATCATGGACTCCTTCAAAAAAATGGTGCCCCAGGTGAGTGAGCACGTGACCGTGTCGTTGTTGCAGCTGCAGCTGAGGTTTCTGAACGGATGAGACGTCCCTCAAGTGAGGCTTATTCACTGGCTCCAGTGGGAACCTAATAATCTAGCAGGAAGCCAACTTCAGATTGTCAGTGTTTGCACAAAAAAAACCCCACTCCTTTCACGTTCCTTCACCTCCAGCACTTTGATTTCCTGACGCTTTAATCTACGTCTTCTTCCTGTCTTTTGTTTCCTGTCTGTCGTCTTCTTCTTTTTTTCCCCGCTGTCCTCTCTGAATATCTGTCTTTTTCGTACTTCCACACCCCACGACTCCCGGTTTTAATCTCCCTTCATCTTCTGTTCTGACTAACACCCTTCTCTCCTCTTTCTCCGGCTCTTTCTTTTTTCTCCGTGCCAGCAAGCCCTGGTGATCCGGGAGGGGGAGAAGATGCATATCAATGCCGAGTTTGTGGTGCTGGGAGATCTGGTGGAGATCAAAGGGGGAGACCGCATCCCAGCTGACCTTCGAGTGATCTTCTCCAGTGGATGCAAGGTAGGGGGTGTGCCGGGGGGGGGAGGTGGGGGCTGCAGGATTTCAGCAGCAAACCTAACTCTGGACCACACCCTTTTTTGTTTTTCAAACGTCTGTTTTAATGCATTAACGAAGAACTGAACACAATAAAGAACCGCACGTAGCATCAGTGAAAACATGGCTGCCAGAAAGGGGGCGCTATGCACAGAGCTGTGGCCCTCAAACAGTGGTCCACACACCACATTTGTTGGTCCATATCGTTTAAAATAAATTCAATATATTGTCGCCCAAAGTTAAATAATCATCTCCAGGATCCAGTGTTTTATACAGCCACAATTTGAAAAAAAAAAATCCTAAACTATCCTTCACACTGTCGCCATCAGGTATTTGTCGTTTGCATCGGAACCGTTTATTTTAAATGTAATTACAAATCCCCCTGAGGATGGACACGAGTGTTTGTTTGTTGGTTAGAAAGAAACATCATAGGAACTCATCCAGAGGCTGCAGAGACATTTGTAGAGTTTAAAAAAAAACAACAAAAAAAGTGCTAAGTGGTAGCAGAAGGAAAAAATGTCAGGGATCAGCAGAGTGGCTGGGATTTATGATGAAAGCTTTGAGCCAGACCATCTTGTAAATGTGAAGATATTTCACTGGAGAACTGGCCACCTGTGGAATATTAATCAGGATAATTAAATCTGGACCAGAGACGACCAAAGAGGGCTGATGCACGTCCTTAAAACAACAGAGCAGCCTCTGATGTTGTCCACTGAAGTGTGGGTTAGTTCCCTGATCTCAGAGCCGCTGACAGGATTATCAGATTAAACCCGTGTCTCACACTGATGAACAAAAGCCGGAACCTGGAAAACCTGCTGCGTCTCGTTAGGAACGCTCATGTCGCAGTGACCCACATGCAGCAGTGATTCTGCTGGTGACCCACTTTTGGAGAAGAGAGAGCTCTGTGTGTGTGTGTAATGTTGAAATGGTAAATATTTCTTGTTAACATTTTTAATGTTTCTGTGTTGAAATGGTAAATATTTCAACTTGTTTTTTAATGTTTCCTTCGTCCTTGGGAAGCGTTTGTGTCTGCAGTGAGGAAGTAGTTAATTAACAAACACAGTTAATGAGCTCAAACACTTCCATTGAAATCAAATTAGCAGGAAACTGTAAAAAAAAGACGAAGTCAACAGACATGTCAGTGGTTCATCTGTCTGCTACAGTCACAGATTAGTACCACACCATTTCTTCTTCGTGCTCCGAGGTACAGATCTGGAAGCTCTGCTCAGATGACCAAGACAGCAGCTCCGGTTTAAAGGAACTTAAATCTGCTTCCTGCCAGTTCGTTCTTTTTTATTTATTATCTTGTCAAGACTTCACTCCTCACTAGTTCAAGTTTTCCAGAGCAGTGACAGAAATAATAAGTCTGTGATTTCCTCCTCTGTAAGAGTGTTTCTGGAACAGGCTTTGGGTCATGTACTCCAAGGTGTAACAGTACTGCACTTGGTACTAATAAGTACTGCATCTGTCACTTCCATCCTGACTCACTGACCTCACCCTCTCTGTTGTCTCAGCATCACTGACTCTGTCTCTCTGACTCTCTCTGTCTCTCTGTGTGTCTCCCTGTGGAGGTGGACAACTCCTCCCTGACAGGAGAGTCCGAGCCTCAGACCCGCTCCCCGGAGTTCACCCATGAGAATCCCCTGGAGACGCGCAACATCTGTTTCTTCTCCTCCAACTGTGTCGAGGGTCAGTACCTCACATCTGTCCACAGACGTCCCCCTTTTTGACTCGTCACGTCCTCTCATAATTGGGTTTTTATGCAACGAGGCTTTGCTTCAACACACGCAGCCATAAATTTGACGGAATGAATCTTTCAGGCCTTTTCTATCTCGATCTCCTCGCAGCGGAGGAGGATTTAATCGAGTTGAATTTTTAAATGATTAAAAATGATTTACTTCAGATATTTTACTCTTTGATATTCAAACCAGAGCTGTCACTTTAAAGGAAGGACGAGGCCTTCAAAGACATCAGGGAATCCTGGCTTTGTCTCAGAAAGCACTCTCACTTCAGAGCTCAGTCAGAGCTCAAGTATATATATTTTTTTGTTGCCAATTTAAATTGTTATTTAAAAATACATACACTGCTGTATACTTTGTGATATTTCAGTATTAATTGCTGGCATGCTGGAAAAGTGAGCAGCAGGCACAGAGGCATTATTACCGTGACTGATCATAATTATTGTAGAAGAGCGTGTTATTTCTCCCCTTTGAACTCCTCGTTGTTAGCCTTATTCCTAAAGAGTGATTTCAGCTCCAGATGAGCAGCGACAGCCCTAATGGACACGTTAGTCTGTATTTCCTTTGACCATCAGTCATCCAGTAGTGATGCAGTGAGCGTCCACAGCCCCCATCAATATCTCCAGCAGAATCCTTTTATTGACATTCAGAGTGAAGAATTGACCTCTGAGGTGCGACACGACAGGCCTGCGTTGGTTGCAGCCTCCAATAAACCGTAAATCCAACGTGTTTTCAACCCAGGATTTAACTGAGCTTTAGATTTAATTCACAACTTCAGAAGCTGTTGGAGAAAAAAAACCCACTAAGGTTGTAGAAGATTTCAATCATATCAGATCATCTTTAGGTCTCACTGTGTGTTTGTTTTGTTTTTTGTCTGCCACTGTGGAAAATTAGCTTATTTTCTTTCAGAGCAGGTAAAGATTTCTCTGGATTATAACACAAATGAAAATGTAAGGTCTGCCATTTGAAGGATGAGAGCGTTTCAGAAACTAAATGTCACCACTGGCTTTGAGAGCGGAACATTATCTCTCCGTGAAAGGCTGTTGAAGAAGGAAATTAAAGCTAGGGTCGGTAGCACCACGAGCTGGCACAGTAGTTCACCAACGACGTTAGCATCCTCCCTGCCTTCACCTGCATCTACGTCAATGATAGTCCAATGATAGCGCAGACAATCAGCGCAACAAATGAACCTGAATGTTGGACAGATTGAGTCGTTTTAGCTAAGATTGTCACACCGATAGCAAAA